AGGAGGGTGAAAGGGATAATTTGGCACATGTGTGTGGTGATGGGTTGTAATTAGTATTTGGGTGGTGAACATGATGTAATCTAGGCAGAAATAGAAGTATAATGATGTACACCTGAAATTTATACAATGTTATAAACCAATGTTATTGCAATAAACAAAAAATTTAAAAAAAATAATGTGAGAGTATGAACAATATCTTCAATCATGATTTTTTTTCCTGAGGAAGATTGGCCCTGGGCTAACATCCGTGCCCATCTTCCTCCACTTTATATGGGACACCGCCTCAGCATGGCCTGACAAGTGGCTTGTCAGTCCGCACCTGGGATCGAACCTGTGAACCCCAAGCTGCTGAAGCAGAGCACACGAACCTAACCACTATGCCACTGGGCCGGCCCCAATCATGATTTTTAAGACACAGAAATTCTGCTCCAGAAACTTCCTCCAGAGACCTTCATAAAGGCACAGAACGCTTAAATCATCATTCGATGATTTCTTCCAGAAGCTGGGACGGTGTTATCCAGCCACTGGGATTTCTGTGTTTTTAAATTTTATGTTGAAAGAGAACAGGCAGAATTGGAATGCATAGTTAACCTGTTCACCAGACTGTCTTTCTCATAAAACTTGTAAAATTTGTTTGGTACCTGCCATTCTCCATACATAGCACTAGTTCTTTACATATATTATCTTTAATTCTTACCACAACCTTGCAAGGTAGGTATTATCAACACTACAAACATTAGGAAACAAAGGTTGAGAGAGTTAGGTAACTTGCCCAAGGTCACCAGCAATGGGATTCCCCGCCCTCTCGATTCAAACCCATGACTTTTCCATTACTAGTATTTCTCAAAGTCTGGTTCAAGGACCACCTGTGCAGTCCCAGGGTCCTACCACAGACCTACAGAATCAGAATCTCTGGGGGTGGGAGTGGGAATCTTGTTCACATCAGTGCAGACTCCTTATTCCAGTTGTGCTGTGTATGCTATTGATCGTGCTGAATCTCATTATTTTTCTAGCTTGGTCCTTTGACAAGTACAGATTTTGTGTGTTGATATGAAAACAAATTGCTATAAGAAGAGTGGAAAGCAATGTTGACACGCTGTTGTAGGCTACCAGGATACAAACATACCTCTCCCTGCCTGAACAACCTGTTGGCTGAAGTTCTCCAAGAATGACCTCTTAAACAGTGCTTCATACCTTGGCTGCACTTTGTAATCACCTGAGAAACGTTAGTGAGACGTCTGGGTCCAATCCATGAGATTCTGATTTAATTGATTTGGGCAGCAGGAGTTTTTTTAAAGCCTCCTCAGATGATTCTAAGTGCAGGGCCTAGGTAGAGAACCACTGTTTTAAGTAGTGGTAAGTACCTATCAAATAGAAATTTTTTCTCATAAAGTAATTGTTGCTGAATTGTTCCTTCTGGCAAAAGATTGCAGCCTTTAAAGCAGTTTTCTTCTCAAAGTCTGGTCCCAGGACCAGGAGCATCAGGACCACCTGGGAACTCTTAGAAATGAAATTCTCTGGCCCCACCCCAGCCCTACAGAATCAAAATAAGGGGGGTGGGGGGCCAGCAGTCTGTTGAAACAAGCTCTCCAGGGAATTCTAAGCACCGGTGAGTTTGAGAACCACTGCTTTAAAGTGAGAAGAGAAGCACTGTGCGAGAGAAGTATATCACAAAGCAAACTGAAAAAGAACAGAGACCGAGTTAATTATTAGGTGTTATCTGTTAGAAAGACTACTTGATTCACAATCAACTTGAGAAGATATTTTGTACTGTTTGAGCACAGCCTCCAGGTTCTCACTCTGCTGGGTTCCAAAGGTAACAGGCTTACCCCCCTATTTCCTAAGTATTTTTCAGGCCCCTCCTTGAATAGGTTCTGTTTTGCAGAGTGGTGGAGTTATTTGCCTTCCTGCAATCTCTCTGTTGACTATTCCCATCCCCCACCAGTGGCTGCTGACATCAACCCTGCCCATGTAGAGGCTTGCAACCCAAATCTGCTGAAATCTTTTAATGTTATTTTGGTAGAGAAGGAAGAGGAGGGTTTGATTCTTGTTTTCCTAAAAAATTCCTGCTGTTATCGTGTGTTGCCTCTAGGAAGTAAAATAGCAGCTGCGTTGATCAAATATCTGAAGGGAGTTAAGCCTTTTTCTGCCCCATCTAGGTGAGCACAGTCCAGGGACAAGGCATCTCTGACAAAGACACGGCATGGTGTCCAATGGGTCCGAGCATAGAGAAGGGTTTTCACCTATGGAATCTTCACAGAGAAGATGAAGCTTCCTTTTATCACTGTATCCCTATATGGTTGAAATGTCTGTGGCAAAACTTTTGGTGCTGGAGGAATGTTAAAACCATTGTCTCCTTGTCACTCTCTGTTTAGAAGGAAGTGATTTCCCCTGCTCGAAGGTAAAAAAGGAGTGAGAGAGACCGATTGGGTGAGTTCAGCAAGTAAGTAGCTTTTTTGGGTCTCTCTTGAAGCTGAGTTTTATCTGTTGGGTGTTTAGAGAAAATATTTCTCCAATGTTTTCCTGCTAGGCTAAACTGACTCGCCATTTTCATCTCTAATCCCGTGACGAAACATTTGATAAACTAAACTGTAAAATTAATGCTATATGTGGGGCTGGCCTGATGGCGTAGTGATTAAGTTCATGCACTCCAATGTCGCCCAGGGTTCACGGGTTCAGATCCCAGGCGTGGACCTACACACAGCTTATCAAGCCATGCTGTGGCAGGCATCCTATATATAAAGTAGAGGAAGATGGGCACAGATGTTAGCCCAGGGCCAATCTTCCTCAGCAAAAAGAAGAAGATTGGTAACAGATGTTAGCTCAGGGCTAATCTTCCTCACACACACAAAAATATATTAGTGCTATATGAGATTGTATATGCTTTCAAAAACATGTTCATTCATATTTGAAGTTATCCCCTGCCTCCCAGCTGTGAGGTCCAGGGCTCTGCATTCTGCTCCCACTATGTTGACTTCCGTTGCAGAGCTTTGGAGGAACTGGCCCCAGCGCTCCTCTTTGGCAGCCAGACATGTATTCTGGCACCCAGGTACCCTCTTTACAACTCACGCAAAGTACTGCGCTTACCCATTCACAATTCTACATCTGTCACCAGGCCTGAGGAACAGTCCCAGGCCTGCTCAGGCTATGATTCCTAGTGGGCAGAGACAACCCTTCCCATCCCCTGAAGGCCCGCCATTGCTGGTCGAGGCAGCAGCAGCGGGGACAGCTCTCTTGGGAGAGTCAGGCAAATTGACGCCCATCAGAGACTTATGGGCTGGAAGGAAGGCATGAACTGCATTAGGGGGAAAGGACAATCCATTTTCAAGCTTAGCACTGAGGGACTGAGGAAGCTGTTTTACCTCCTGGCAGAATTTTCTCTGAATGTTCAGCTTCAGTTTTCACCCCTACGAATGCCTCACAAAGACCTCACATATTCTTTCCCCCACCCGTGCTGCCTTTTCCTAGGTACGTGCCTCACAGCAAACTCATTCAAGTGGCCCCAGGAACAAATCTTGAAAAGCTTCTTAGAGTAGGTTTGCCAGATAAGATACAGGAAGCCCAGGGCAATTTGTATTTTAGATAAACAACCAATAATTTGTCAGTATAAGTGTGTCCCAAATATTTCAAATATATTAACAAATAATTTGTTGTTTATTTGAAATTCAGATTTCACTGGGTGTCTTCTTTTTATTTGCTGAATCTGGCAATCCTACCTAAGAGGTAGATGACAGAAAAAAGCACATGACAGATTGTGACCTTGCTCCGGCTGTTCACAGGTCCACCAGTAATAGTTTTTACAGGAAGAGAAACACTGCACTCACCGTATCGGCACCTGTACTGACAGACTCCATTTTTCCCTCCCAGCAGCTCCAGAAACGAGTCAAAGTAGCTGTTGACAGATTCAAAGCTGCCCCGGATGTGCCGTAGGCCCCAGTCTGAATAGGACTCCTCTGCGTCAGGGCTGGTGTCACTCTGAGCCAGGCCACCCCTCAGGCTGAGCCACAAAATCAAGAAGCCAGTAGCCAGCTTCATCCTGCAGCCCAGTAGGCACTGAGGTCTTTCCTCAAATCTCAGCCAGTGTCCCAGGAGGTCCAGGTACAAAGCCCACTGGCCAAATGTCAGGGAGGACTGGGAGAGGGATTATCTGGAATACTCAATCTGTGTTCCCCAGAGGTGGACTTTAAACATAGCTATGGAGGCTGGGATGAGATCAGGGCAATTAGAAAGGCCAAAGGTTAGGCAGTGGGAGGGCCTGTTGAGGGATGGCCAGTGAGAGAGAATACTTCAAAGTGGATTCCACAGCCCTGGAGGAGGGAGATGTTGGCCAACTTTGAGGAGGCATGAGCAGTGGAGCAATTGGAATTCTACCCCCAACCAGCTTGTTAACCTATTGATCAGTTATAAGTTTGGCCCTTCTGGGCCAGCCTCTTGACACAAGAGCTTGTCTCAAGGTCCTAGTCCCACCCCTAAGCCATTCACCTACCCACAGTCTACAGGGAGTTTCAGGAGAATATATAAAGGGCTCAGGAAAACCCCAGTGACGGTGGGTTAACAATGTCACTTGTACCAATGGTCAGGACCTTGAGGGAGACAATGCTCTAAGTGTGCATGGAGTAGGCCTTCAGATATGGGACCCCAGCTTCTGCCTTGGTTCCTACCTGGCTCTCAGACTCAGTTCTTTAACCTGGCAGAGCTCCTAATTGTAACCATCCTAGTGGTGGGGCATTTTTGCCTCTTTATCTACAGCAGTAATTTTATTTACACTCAGCAGCCTCTGATAGCTACAGACTGCCCAGAGATGGTACTAGGGGAGCTCAGCTCTCCTAGTGTTTTTGCACTGAATTGCTTAAAAGTCAGAAGGTTTATCAGAAACACTACTTGAAATTTTAGGATTTAAGACTATTGACTGAAGTCTAGTGTTTTGGCATCACTTTCAGTTTATACTTTGCTTTAAGTCACATGAAAAAATAAATTCCATCCATGAAATAACTAGTCTATAAAAATGATACCTTTATGGACCAAATGAGTCATTTAGCTTATCTCTCAAAAGTCTGGAAAGTCCCATAGAAAATAATGAATTAAATTTCTTCATTTTAGATAAGAAATGTATTTGTCTAAAGACTCAGACTCTAACAACTCAACAACAAAAAAACAAAAAACCTGATCAAAAAATGGGCAGAGGATGGGCCAGCCCCAGTGGCCTAGTGGTTAAGTTCAGCATGCTCCAATTTGGTGATCTGGGTTCAGTTCCCAAGTGTGGACCTACACCACTCGATTAGTGGCCATGCTGTGCCATCGACCCACATACTAAAAAAAATAGAGGAAGATTGGCACGGATGTTAGTTCAGGGCGAATCTTCCTCAGGAGAAAAAAAAAGGTCAGAGGATTTGAACAGACATTTTTCCAAAGAAGATATACAGATGGCCAACAGGAACATGAAAAGATGTTCAACATCACTAATTGTTAGGGAAATGGAAATCAAAACCACAATGAGACGTCACCTCACACCCATCAGAATGGCTATAATTAACAAGACAAAAAATAACAAATGTTGGAGAGGATGTGGAGGAAAAGAAACACTCGTACATTGCTGGTGGGAATGCAAACTGGTGCAGCCACTATGGAAAACAGTATGGAGATTTCTCAAAAATTTAAAATAGGAATATCATGTGGGGGCCAGCCTGGTGGTATAGTGGTTAAGTTTGCACACTCCACTTCGGCAGCCCAGGGTTCATGGGTTTGGATCCCAGGCGCAGACCTACACACCACTCATCAAGCCATGCTGTGGTGGCGTCCTGCATACAAAAAATAGAGGAAGATTGGTACAGATGTTAGATCAGGGAAGGAAGGAAAGGAAAGGAGAGAAGAGGAGAGGAGAGGAAAGGAAAGGAAAGGAAAGGATCATATGATCTGGCTATCCCACTACTGGGTATTTATCCAAAGAACATGAAATCAATGATACAGAGATGTATGCACCCCTATGTTCATCACAGCATTATTCACAATAGCCAAGATGTGGAAGCAACCCAAGTGCCCATTAACTGATGAAAGGATAAAGAAGATGTGGTATATATACACAATGGAATAATACTCAGCCATAAAAAAGGCAGTCATGCCATTTGCAACTACATGGATGGACCTTGAGGGTATTATGATAAGTGAAATAAGACAGACAGAGAAAGACAAATAACATATGATTTCACTCATATGTGTAAGATAAACACATGGATAAGGAGAACAGATTAGTGATTACCAGAGGGTAAGGGGGTGGGGGATGGGCAAAAGGGATAAAGAGGCACGTATATATGGTGACAGATAAAAACTAGACCGTTGGTGGTGAATGCGATGCAGTCTATACAGGAACTGATATATAATAATGTACACCTGAAATTACACAATGTCCTAAACCAATATGACCTCAATAAAATAAAAAAGTTAAAAATTAAAAAATAAAATAAAAAAATAATAATTGAAAAAAATACTCAGACTCTAGGAAGGGTGGTGGTTAAAAAATATTTCGTATGAACAATGCCACCAATATTTTAAAGCACCTATACTTTTTCAAACCACTGTGTGTCTGTCTTTTTTTTTTTTTTTATGTCCATTCTACAAAGCAGGGTAAACATCATTCCTATCTGAGAGGTGAGAAAACTGAGATACAAAGATTAAATGACTCAGTCAAAGATGGACAGGCTATCAATGGTAAAGACGGGACCAGGGCCAGCTACATAATTTGTGGGGCCCAGTCAAAATGAAAATGCAGAACTCCTTTTCAAAACAGGAAAAAAGTGCTGGTAAAGGAACTAAAATATAAAGCTTTTCCTTTAAAAATTCTGTATTACTTATAAAACATAATGGGGGTAATAGTGATAACTGAGTAACAATATAAACTTCTAAATTGCAAAAATATTTTTGGTGTCAAATTTTATATAATATTACGTGTAATACTTGGTTAATATGTGATGTCTTGATTGATTATTTTTCTGACTTCTGCAAATTCATTAGGTCATCCAAATTTGTACTTTTATTAACTTCATTTTCAATTCACATAATTGAATGCAATGTCAGTTGCTCTTGGCAAATGCAAGATTGCAAATAATATTTGATAATTTTTAATTTTAAGAAGGATCTTTCTGCTGATGAAACTTACTGGAGCTATTAATAGTATTTTTCCTTATTTCTTCATACCTTAAATTTTTTTATTGTGGTAAAATATGCACAATATAGTATTTACCATTTTAAAATGTACAAAGCAGTGACATTAAGTACATAATGTACGTTTACAATGTTGTTCAATCATCATCACTATCCATCTCCAGAACTTTTCCTCATTCCAAATTGAAACTTTATACACGTGAAACAATAATTCCCTATTCCCCTCTTTCCCCAGCCTCTGGCAACCATTATTCTACTTTCTGTCCTTATGTACTTCTTCTAGGTACCTCTTGGAAGTGGAATCATACAATATTTGTTCTCTTGTGTCTGGCTTGTTTCACTTAGCATAATGTTTTCAAGGTTCATCCATGTTGTAGCATGTGTTAATACTTCATTATTGTGAATAATGCTGCTGTGAATATAGGTGGACAAATACCTGTTTGAGTCCTGCTTTCAATTCTTTTGGATATATACTAGAACTGGATTTGTTAGATCATATGGTAATTCTATGTTTAACTTTTTTTTTTTGCTGAGGAAGATTCGCCCAGAGCTAACATCTGTGCTAGTCTTCCTCTATGTTGTCTGTGGGTTGCCGCCACAGCATGGCCGTTGCCAAGTGGTGTAGATCTGCGTCCAGGAACAAAACCTGGGCCGCTGAAGCAGAGCACACCAAACTTAACCACCAGGCCACGGGGCTGGCCCCTGTGTTTAACTTTTTGAGGAACCATCATACCATTTTTCACAGTGGCTGCGCCATTTACATTCCCCCTAGCAATGCACAAGGGTACCAATTTCTCCACATCCTCACCAACACTTGTTATTTTCCTTTTTTTTTTTTGACAATAGCCATCCTCCTCGGTATAAGGTAGAATCTCATTGTGGTTTTGATTTACATTCCCTAGAGATTAGTGATGTTGAGCATCTTATCATGTGCATATTGGTCATTTGTACGTAATCTTTGGAGAAATGTCTATTCAAGTCCCTCTTTGCCCAGTTGTTTTTTACCCAGCTTTATTGTGACGTAATTAACATGTAATGTGTAAATTTAAGCTGTACATCATGTTGATTTGATACACTTATATGTTGTGAAACTATTGCCACAGTAGGGTTAGTTAACACCTCCATCACATCACACAATTACCTTTTCATCTTTGTAGTGAGAACATTTAACATCAATTTTCTTAGCAACTTTCAGATATATAATACAATATTGTTAACTATAGTTACCATGCTGAACACTACATCCCCCAAACTTATTCATCTTATAACTGAAAGTTTGTACCCTTTCAATAATATCTCCCCAATTTCCCCAACCCCTAACCCCTGGCAACTACTTTTCTACTCTTTTTCTATGAGTTCAGCTTTATTAGATTGCACATATAAGTGATATAATACAGTATTTGTCTTTCTCTGTCTGACTTATTTCACTTAACATAATGCCCTCAAGGTCCATCCATGGTGTCACAAATGGCAGGATTTCCTTCTTCCTCATAGCTCAATAATATTCCATTGTGTGTGTGTATGTATGCATATGTGTGTGTGCATATATATATATATATATATATATAATATACCACATTTTCTTTATCCATTCATCTGTAAATAGACACTTAAGTTGTTTCCATGTATTGGCTATTGTGAATAATGCAGCAAAGAACGTGGGAGTACAGATATCTCTTCAAGATCCTGACTACATTTCCTTTGGATATATACCCAGAAGAAGGATTGCTGGATCATATGGTAGTTCTATTTTTTAATTTTATTTATTTATTTTTTTTACATTGGTTTATAACATTGTATAAATTTCAGGTGTACATCTTTATACTTCTATTTCTGCCTAGATTACATCATGTTCACCACACAAATATTAATTACAACCCATCACCACACACATGTGCCGAATTATCCCTTTCACCCTCCTCCCTCTCCCCTTCCCCTCTGATAACCACCAATCCAATCTCTGTCTCTATGTGTTTATTGTTGTTATTATCTACTACTTAATGAAGGAAATCATACGCT